AGTCTATAGGCTGGGTCGTGGGTGATAGTCGGGCAGGAGGTTAGAAAGGAGAGCCCATATATCGCTTTGTAGAGAAATATTAAATTGTGTTTTAGCCTACGGTGCCATAAAGGTTCTAAAGATAGATGCTTACATCTGTCTGTGTAATCGAGATTCGAGTTACATCCTAGTAGTTGACGTGTGAAACGTCTTTGAACATCTTCTACTCTTATCTTGTCTGCGATATTCATATTAGAGAAGACAAAAGAGCAGTATTCAAGGGTGGGTCGTACACATATTTTGTAGAGAGTAAGTTTACCCTCTGTTGTGAAAAAGTTTTTCATTATAAAACCAATTAGCCGTCTAGATTTAGAAATAATAGAGGAGGCATGTTCTTCAAAGTTTAGGCTTCCTGTGTAATTAATTCCTAAATCGTGTACTGATTCGAGTGTTTGGACTATACATTCATTTAAGTGAAGTCGCGGTTTATAGGGATGCTTTCCAAAGTGCATGATCCCGCACTTGTTGAGGTTAAATGGTAATTGCCATTTTTCACTCCATATAGTTAAGTTATTGAGGTCCTATTTCATAGACGTCAGCTCACTAGTATCATCAGTAGCGGAGGTCACTTCCGGATTACTATCATGGAATAATTTGTTTGATGCATCCCCTAATATTCCTCCTGTATCTTGCCAAGAAATTGTTCTAGCACAGACAACTCCGTGTGTTAGCGATGCTGAGTCCCCAATGACCACGACAAGTATGTTGTCCCTGTGTATAACTCACCTACTCGTCTAAAGCTTTATTCATAGGCATATGTTCTTTGTAAACATCACGACTCTCAATAATTCCATAATGAATGACATTTTGTAACACATCCAAACTCTGCCCAGCTCATCCTGCTAACTGATAAGCTATCCTCCTACGCACGGTATATAACTGATTCACAGAATAGAAGCGATTAAGCGTATGTAAAAACTACTATCTGAGAAAGCATATGTTTCCATCTGCAGCATTGTCTTAACTTGTTTTAGTTTACTTGGGCACATATAAGGAGTTTCGAACCACAAAGAAAAAATCGCCGATATGCTAAGTCCCTCGAAAGAATCTCAACTGAGATTTTACTTCTCCGTAAGAATAGAAGAATTTGAGAGGGAGTTAGGTTACTGGTCGCTGATAAGATGAAATCTCAATATCGGGAAGTTCAAAATATTCTTGCATCGACCTTCTGTAAGTCTAGAAGATTTTATGAAGAAAAACTAGTTGAAGAATCTATAGCAAATAATAAAGGCCTACACCAATACATGAGCCAAAGGACTAAAAGAAGAGACAACTTTCCAGTGTTGTGAGAAGACAGTAGTTCTGAATCATTAGTGAGTGACGGTTATGTTAAGGCTCAGGTGTTCTCAGATTGTATTAGCAACAGACATACCTTGGAGGTGCCCTAAACTTCACTCTATGCACGCACCCCACATGCACACACTCTGCACACTATGACCATCAAATAATTTTTAATCTATTTCAATACAAAAACCTTTGTGGCTTTGTGTACAGTATTCATTTGTTTTAAACTCGAGTGCCACACATAAGCAGCTAGTCCCTGCCTAAAAGGAGACGGCGAGTCGTTGGAAAAGGTTCAAAGAACCGCAAATATGCTAATTATCGAGATAGTAAAGCTCATGTATGATAATCGACTGGCTAAACTAAATCTATTTGCATTGTCATACAGAAGACCCGGAGGTGGTTTGATCGCAGTTCATTAATTATTTTGTGATAAATTTGCATATGATATCCCCTCATTTTTCTCGACTTCCAAACAACAGAATTTTCAAGGACGTTTTTATTTATTTATTTTAAACACATAGATATTGGCACAAGGAGGCACCAAATACATATGCACGACACAAATCTCATTTGATGTGTTTGAGAGGTGTGATACTGCCCGGGCACCTAAACCGAAGCAGATGGTTTTCTTAGGAAGCCACACCTGGAGCACTGAAATCAGACATCGAAGCAACCACAAGCATGCTATACCTTCTATTCAAAAAGATTTGGGAGGAGGAACAAGTGCCAATGGACTGGAAAGAAGGACACCTCGTCAAGATTCCAAAGAAAGGAGATCTGAGCAAATGTGAAAACTACAGAGGCATTACACTACTGTCAATACCAGGGAAAGTCTTCAAGAGAGTGTTGCTGAACCGGATGAAGGATGCAGTAGACGCCAAACTTCGAGACCAACAAGCTGGATTCCGTAAGGATCGGTCGTGCACAGACCAAATTGCAACACTGCAGATCATCGTCGAACAATCAGTTGAGTGGAACTCATCACTATACATCAACTTCATTGATTATGAAAAGGCATTCGACAGTGTAGATAGGAGGACATTATGGAAACTTCTTCGACACTACGGAGTTCCTGAGAAGATTGTCAACATTATCCGGAACTCATACGACGGACTACAGTGCAAAGTAGTGCATGGAGGACAGCTGACAGATGCATTCCAAGTAAGGACTGGAGTCAGACAAGGCTGTTTACTCTCTCCCTTCCTCTTTCTTCTGGTGGTCGACTGGATTATGAAAACCTCAACATCTGAAGGAAAACACGGAATACAATGGACAGCTCAGAACCAGTTAGACGATTTGGACTTCGCAGATGACCTAGCCCTCCTATCACGTACACACGAAGAGATGCAGATGAAGACAGCCAGTGTAGCAGCAGTCTCTGCATCAGTAGGCCTCAGCATACACAAAGGGAAAACCAAGGTCCTCAAATTCAAGGCGGAGAACAGCAATCCAATCACTCTTGATGGCGAAACTCTGGAAGATGTAGAGTCCTTCACATACCTGGGAAGCATCATCGATGAACAAGGAGGTTCAGATGCAGATGTAAATACGAGGATTGGCAAAGCAAGGGTCGCGTTCGTACAATTGGAGAACATATGCAAATCAAAACAACTTTCAACCTATATCAAAGTCAGAGTCTTCAATACGAACGTCGAGTCGGTTCTACTGCACGGAGCTGAAACTTGAAGAACTACTACAACCACCATCAAGAAGGTACAAGTATTTATAAATAGCTGTCTTCGCAAGATACTCAACATCCATTGGCCGAATACCATCAGCAACAGCCTTTCGTGGGAGAGAACAAATCAGCTTCCAGTTGAAGATGACATAATTTAGCTTCAGTATTAACTGTGAGGTATGACTTCGACGTGAACAAGGAGGTTACACCATTTCCACACGACACGAGTAGACTGTGACCTAGATTCCTGATCGGCATCTCTAAAATAACCTTGCACGTCTAGTATCAGTTAAACGTTACTTTTTTCTATACGTAAATAAAAAATATTGGAACCAGGAGTACCAGAATATGTCTGACTTCAATTGAAACATATGTTAGAAACAACTAAAAAATGAAGAATTTTATCACTCAAACCACTTGTGCGTAACAGAATACGATCTCGAAACGTTACACAATACAATTATACAACCAAAACCAACACCAGTACACATTAACAGATATCTCTTAAGTTTTAAAGAACAGGTTTGACAAAAGACCTTACAAATTCAATCATTTCGCTCTTCACTTTTTCTCACGAAAGATTACGACATTAAGATTACTTAACGAACATAATTGTGGGCCATCAAATTTGAAGAGTCATTGGTAGTCTCAGTATGTGAGGAACGTTAATGACTATACATAAATCATGAACTGTTGATTGTCGTCCTAAAAAATTGGTCGAGCTATCTGTTGTTTAGAAATGCAATCACATTGGTTTCATCTTTATCTGAAATTAAAATAACTACTACACACTGGTGTGCGATAGCCACCAAAGGTTTTAGAACACTATGGTCAATACGTAGAGCCTTTAGCTATGTCAATGCTAAAAACGTTGTAGATTTGTGTACAGTATTCATTTGTTTTAAACTCGAGTGCCACACATAAGCAGCTAGTCCCTGCCTAAAAGGAGACGGCGAGTCGTTGGAAAAGGTTCAAAGAACCGCAAATATGCTAATTATCGAGATAGTAAAGCTCATGTATGATAATCGACTGGCTAAACTAAATCTATTTGCATTGTCATACAGAAGACCCGGAGGTGGTTTGATCGCAGTTCATTAATTATTTTGTGATAAATTTGCATATGATATCCCCTCATTTTTCTCGACTTCCAAACAACAGAATTTTCAAGGACGTTTTTATTTATTTATTTTAAACACATAGATATTGGCACAAGGAGGCACCAAATACATATGCACGACACAAATCTCATTTGATGTGTTTGAGAGGTGTGATACTGCCCGGGCACCTAAACCGAAGCAGATGGTTTTCTTAGGAAGCCACACCTGGAGCCTTCGACCTACAGGTCTGATACATAAGGCAGTGGAACAACGTAAGGAGATGCAGTCCTATGGTAGCCGGTGACCAACGGTTAATTCATACGCCATTAGTTCACTCAGGATACTGGAGCTCATGTGCACCACAAGTTTGGAATGAGGGTTTTCCAACTCCCCTAGGTGGACTCTCCATGTCCACCAACCCGGACATTCGCTTTTCGTCCTCTCAATTTCGTAAACAACAGTAATGCCACGAGAAGGCAATGAACAGAACTTCCCTGGCAGAGGCTATATATGCATGGCCATGTGAGAGCATTTGAAGAGGGCGAGCGGACTCTCCACACTCTCGGCAGTACAAGGGCATTTGGGGGCCAGATCAAATTACTTACTTGGCTTTCTGATCGAACCATAAAGGCATGGAATTCGTTGCCTCAACACATGATTGAATTTCCTTGAAGAAAAGTGGATCAACTAAGAGATTGCCATTGCCAGGACTAACACTTGTCCAGCCTCTTATCTTTTTGTCATTGAAAGTGGAAATTAAATTTTCTAAACCAAGATTCACTCACATGAAGTCATATAATATCCGTAGTATCATAGCCTCTTGTATCAGCCACTTATTTTGAAAATGGTGTGTTCTTGAGTGTATACTTTGCGTTAGGTGTTTAAACATATCACTTAGTGTTGAACTATACAGCGGCGTTAATTTCTCACAAGGTCCCCAGCGGGCGTTGTGATTATAGTCCATTAGTTGTTATTGTGATCGTTGTTGTCTATTTATCAGTATTGAGTTTTTAGTCAGCAAAATTTATATTAGATCATGTACTTCGGCCAAATTTTATGTTCTCCCATAATGCTGCTACAAGTTAATATTTCGGGGAAATTCATGTAAGATATGAAAAGTGCTAGACAGTTTGTTTTTGATGGACTACCAGTGGAAAGCACTTCGAAAGCATATACAAGTTCTTCGGAAGACAAGACCGTTGTAGATTTTGCTTCTCCAAGTAGTACCAACAGCAAAAACTCTAGGGGGTTCTCTGAAGTAAGTTAAAATAGATCTCTTAATGATTTAAAGAACTTCTTTTACGTTCCTGCGTATTGTACAACGCTCCATTGGTGGTGGAGGTTAAAGTTTTTGCGTTTTGAAGAATTTGTTTGTGCACACCATTGGAAGGTTCTCAGTTCCATAGTAGTACTTAGTCTATTTTGTTTTGGCCTGAAAGCGGTTACTGTCGACACTAATTTTGACAAGCTGTGGATTGAAGGTAGGTCATGCTATGTCACATGGTTTATCGGTGATTTTACCCTATGTACTGTATTCAATGCTTGGCAAGTCATCGAACGATTCGTTTGTCTGTTGATTTTTGGGTCTATATCTACAGTTTAATTTGGTATGTTAGGATTAGCAATATCTAAATTTTCAAACTCAGATACTTGTTATAAGTTATGGGCTGTAATACCACAAGCGGTATTTTCCTGAGTAGTCTTAATTGTAGATATGACTGGAGATAAGGCAACTGTGATTAGATGTAGCTATAACAGTACTGCTACATGGTTCTTGTTGGGTTCGTTACTCGTAAGCCTCTTTACATGTTCAAGTTATGATGTGCAGTGCGTATTTAGCTAAATTATATCACTAAAATTCAAAAGCTTTGTACGACCATAACCAGATCATCGATTCATCCTTAAAAACATATGGGACAGAAATTTAGAAGTATATGTTGGGAATGGAGAAGAGAATAGGTAGTTCTGAAGGGTATCAGTGGTAGGACTTTTTCTCAAAAGGTTGATGGCCTTTTAAAGTTCCGCGAATTCAGCTTTCAACTCTGAGTAGTTGGTCACGAAGGCCAGTGAAAGTGGTGAATATTTTACTATGGTGTTTTTTAGTTCTTATTGTGCTGCTTTAAGGCGGATTAATTTAGGTGGCAACTGGGACTTGCCAAAGGAAGGTATTTTGACGAGAGTTTAAGATCAACTAACTTTTGTCAGCTTAACCTGAATAGATTTTAGTCCGATAATTAAGTTCAGAAATTTTGATAAAGCTTCAAGTTTTAGTAGGATTATTACTGTTGTGGAGGGAGGTTATAGTAAATCACCTCATCACGACTTGCATCTGTCGAATGCCTATTTTGTTTGCATGTTTTTTTGAGACTTCATTGAACACTAACTCCTCACTTATACCTCACTGAGGTTATTGATCACCGTAAGTTTTTGAACTCCAAGCGTGTGAATTATTGTGTTTTGTTGTTTTGGTGAGTCTTCGAGGTACATTGGTACCAAAAGCTGAAGATGTTTTGCTTGGATTTAACGTGCGTCAAATGCATAGTATTTCTTTAGCATTGGTCTACAAGAGAAAAAGTTTGAGCTTATAAGTGATTCATTTGAGCATGATGAACATTTCGTTTACCTGTGTTCTAGATTAATAATATAAATTAAATTCTAAACCTGTATGTGAAAGGTTTCTGACGTAGTTAATGACTGAAGACTAGATCTATCACTTTCTTCGCTTTACCATACAACTTTCAAATGCTTTGTGAAACAGAACAGCATAGACATGTTACGTGCATTTGCTTTGTAGATCATGAAATTTATTTATTTGTGGTAGAATAAACGGATTAACGATGTTTAAACTGAATTTGGACTTGGTAGAGAGGAGGAAAATTGTTTATCAAAACTGTGAACCTGTAAGGATCTAAATACTTATTACTTGTATTGTTCATAGTCACTCAATTTATCCATCGATTCCAAGTGATGAATAGATTATAAATAATATGAAAAAAGCCATAAGATGGTAAGTCGAGATAAAACAAAGTATTTCTGAGCTGGATAAAGATTCACAATCTTATTTTCCGGTTCATCATCTTTGCCTAGTATCGTGTGTATAACCGTAACTTTACTTACTTGGTGGTCTTAATATACGCGAACAACGCTTCGAAGATACTTTATAATGCCCTCTGTGTGGCGCATATATGTCTGGTGCACCTTTGTACCAATATTTATGTGTTCAAATAAATAAATAAAAATTAATTCCCTCTACTTTTAAAGGTCACGTTTCAAAACTATATGGTAAAATGAGAACTGTTGCTCAGTATACTCACCTTTTCGCTGAATGGTGGATATTTATCCTTCTTCACAAGTGACGCTGGTTGGTAAAAGATAACTGAGTTCTATGAACCCGTGCTGGAATTTCACCAGCCATCAACCCACCATGGTTGATAAGACTTCCAGCGGAAGTAAATTTATCTATACACTTAGCTACTTCATTTGTTATCATTTGTTAGTTTGGTATGTGCTAGTCCTCAAGCTATATTTTACTTTTAGAGGGGGGAATGCATCTAAAACATGCTTTTATTGTTAATAATGGCAACCAGAAAGCTCAGAATTTTGCCAATTTTCACCAAACAAGATTATATCATCCGCTTACTGTAAGCCGATACGTAAACCTGATAGATCAATCCATGGAAAGTCAGATATTGAAAGCGTTATCTGCAAAAGAATATTTGAAATAAAGTCAAACGAAGTTGGTAATTGTGGAAAACCTTAACGAACACTGCTTGGGGTTCGAAATTCCGATAACATTCCTCCATAATCTGAGACTCAATCAATAGTTTTCAAGTAAAGAACTTCCACACGGTTTATGTACTTTGGCACACGTTTTAACGCTAAACACTACCACAAAACCTCCAGGTTGACAGAGTCAAGAGATACAACTTTTGTCTGGTCTGATAGACATTCCTTTGTTCTAGGACCTGAAAAAGGGTAAACACTTGATTGGTGCATTCACATCCAGTTCTAAAATCAGCCTAGTTTTCCCGAGTTTGTTGTTTATGAGTCCTAGTTAAGCATTAAGGGAATATAGAGGCCAATATTTTAAAAAGGGCTTTCTGTGATATAGCGTTTTCGTCATCCGAGTTTTAGTCAGTGAGAGTGTTGACAGAGACAACAAAGACTAAACAGCGCGTGTCCCACTCTCCCAGGCGTTTCCGATACCATTTGGTTGGACAGCATACAATCGACTGCCCATTGAAACCGAGTCCAGAAAATTGTGTTTTGCTTTAGAGCTTATTGTTATATCTGCGTCAGCTAGATCATGATATGCAGTAGTCAAGCTCTAAAACCTACTAAGGGTGAGTCGCATTGGTCCTCTGTATCGACTAGGTGAGGTCAAGTGAATAATCACACTTGTATCCTTAATGAGAATTTTCGAGATTCCGTTTACATCAATGGAACGGAATTTCAGAGTTCTAGTTAATGAAGCTTTACTCCCAATTTTGCATAGGGTTCGAACATTGATAACCCCACAATTCAGTTTAAGATGCGACTTCCGGACACCAGGAATAATACTTTGTGAAGTCCAATAGTTGTTATTAGTGTTGAGGGGGGAGAAAGCTGAAGTCATAGGAGTAACCTTGTTTGTAGCGAAGTAACAGAAGGATTCAACCGAGATTAAAATATCTTGTTGATGGTTGCCTTTTCCTGACTAACGACACCGTGAAAAAGTAATTCCTAAGGTACCTCTAAGGAAATACTGAACATTAGTTATCGTGTCGACTTAGACTCTGCCCAATGAGAACACTGATGTAAGGGTAGGTAGTAAAAACTGGTGTTCGGACCGAAACAAAACATCGGTCTTAGAAATCTGGCTGTTCTCTTTGGCTATATAAGGGAATGTTTTTTTGTTAAGTTTCCTCTGATAACTGAAGAAGGATTTTTCAGTTGACATGGCTGAGGGTTGGTTCCTGTAGAAAATATGCACCCATTTTGTGCGACTTTTGTCAGTGTTAATTTCATCGTTCCATGCCTTTTGTATTTCATTCTAATTGTTGTCTATAAAGCTGTGGTTAAGTGCCTTTAAGATTTGACTGTCACTTATTGTTGTTTCAGCTACTTCGATTTTGGTAACATTCAGACGTCCATAAAATGAGTCATGTCACTATTTTTTATTCTTAAGTTACAGACACTTTATTTTCCCCAGTGTACTTCCACATTATTATTTCCAAATCTCCGAAAATTGAACCTCTTTTATCATTTTTAATCTCTCTAGTTTTGAAGCATCTAACAATTGTAGTAAATATGAATTTATTTATCATTTTTCTGAAATGCCCTATAAGTTATTCCAGGTTTTTCTGTATTGTTTTAGTTTGTTATTTCTCAAATTTATTGATATGATATTTGAAGTGAGTATTATCCCATACATTGTATTCCCCCAATTTGTCCTTTTTTCTGAATTCCCCGTCTCACCGTCAGTTCGCTACTGCTATCGAGGTTACCATTTTTACCGATTCTTTTCTCTTCTTGTTTTCCTCTCGCTGTGCCGATATAGCAACATACTTCGATACAGATATTTTTTCAAATCATTAATTTATGATTATTGCACTCGGTTTTTAACCACATTTGATCTGTGGTACTACCTGGCTACTCAAAGGGAAGTGCATAAATTATGTTTCAAGGATTCTACTCCGTTTAAAAAGTCACCTCTTTGTTTAAAATATATACGTCACCAAAGCATCGCATTCAGTATCACTGGTCTCTCTGCTCTTAACTTGTCGGTTTCGAAGGCACCTATGGTTTCGTTCACTGTTTTCCTATCCGATTCACAGCTACGGGTAACAGTACTTTTCTTGTGCCTCATAAAAGTGTGTTGATATTTTGATGGAACAGGACTATACTTTTATCATAATTTCTGATAATAACGATATGAAAGTAGATATACAAAGTGTTTGAACACCTCATTTTTGTTCTCCTGTCGTGGGATCTATGTTCAATTTGTTTCTTTTTGCAAAAATCTATTGAAATGATATTCACCTCCAATAAATGGAAAAGTTTATCTAGTTTTATATAAAAAATAGTGACTAGTCAATTAGACAGTAAAACTGTTAGCATTCTTATAAGCTTTTGGTGATGTAAGAACTACTGACCCAACTGAAATTCATAGATATCTGATATTTTTTTACCTCTTAAAAGAACGTAGTCATAATAATCTAGTAAAATAGGACAGCTCATTTCGTAATGGCAAGTTTAGTGATGTCCTAGTTACTAGAAAGATCTAAATAGTAGATAGTCAGTTATAGTCGCCGTTGAACCCTATTCAATTGTCGACCGGTTCAAGCTGTATCATCCCACATTAGTACAGCGAGAGAGGAAATTAACAAAATGAGAAAAAAAGGTGGGAAATTAGTGTCTACTACGATGAAAAGCTAAAAATCAAAATAGGGTTGAGGAATGTTTCATATTTAAGGTCAGCCTCCTTTGGGGAATATTAGAA